AGAAGTCTGGAATTCTGAGGCTACTTCACCGGTTGAATGAAAATTCTTTACTACGATTAAGTAAAAAAGATCATAATATACATGATCATGTGGTAATGCAGCTGACAGCAATACATAATACGGATCATGCAGCTGACAGAATACGTAATAATGGATCATGCAGTAATCTAAAATTAGAACAGAAAATCATCGTATGCAAAAACTACTGTGTATAGAACTGTGCCAAATTGTAATATGTCAACATATGTTAAAATTTTTACTACGAATAAGTCACACACTTGCGAATACAATCTAATAAAAATCTCGATTTCTGTTAGTTTGTCTCTAAGCCCTGATTTGCTGTGGAAGGGCTCAATTTTTAATTTGTTATATATAAATTTCTCTATAAATAAAGGGCCTTTTCGCCCACTGCAACGGCAGATTCTAACAATAGAATTCCAAGATGCATTGTCCCTTATATTTTAATGTCCATTTCCTGACATTCTACTAAGTTCTATAGTAGAATTCTTGTTCATCTGATCGTTTTGCTCACATGATTGCTGCACTACCCCGAGCAGTGTTGGAAATCTGTTTTGAGATTTATGTTCTCATGAGAACAAATTATGTTCTCCAATATGTCAAGCACAAGAAAATTCAATACCCAAAGTGAAAAGAAAAATTACTTAAATAGAGCGGAAAATACAGAAAACATGGAATGTATAGAAAATGTAGAGGATACAGACATGGAAGACGTGGAGGTTCTCAAAAATAAATTTTATTTATATCCCTATTTTTTTAAATTTTTTATTTCGAAAAAATATCAGTCATTTATTCAAAATTTTGTCCCAACCCTTCTTGTCTTTTATGTTCATTCATTTTCTTTTCAGATAATTTCAGAACTTCGTTCAATTTTATTTCCATCTGGCATTATGCTTATATAATACTTATAGAGATCACATTTTTCGAGTATTATGTTCCCAAATTTTTTTTAATAGAGAACATTTACACAATATCAAATCTTTTCAAATCTAAAGATATGTTCTCGTGAGAACATGAGAACATAAGATTTCCAATACTGCCCTAAGGTATTGTATGCCACCATATTGTGGATCTATTACCTTGAGTGTTGGTTCCAGTATTCGGGTATTGTTATATCGGTTGAATGATTGTGCCGTTGTGAAGACAGACACCCCCTGTACTTGGATTGCTAGGGTTAAGTATAATTACGGGTTGCCCGATCATCATTGATACATGATGCATATAACCAGGTAATCAAATACCCAGATAATAATCTCTAATAAAAGCATCAATCCAAAAGGATCGATAGCAAGAAGTTTCCAGAGAAAGCTTATTATACTTAGTGAATAAACGTTCTTAGTAATAAACCATGATAACAAACAGTAGTTGAGGGTAGTGCCTGGTACGATACACCAGTGCCAAAGTGAGTGCTCAAACTTAGTGGAACTGAGCCAAAGACCTCACATAACTAAGAATCTATGTGACAGCCTTGGAACCTAGTGGATCTTTGGCAGTTCAAAAGTGTAGCCATGTTGAATTTCCAAATATTAAAAAATCTCATTAAATCATTACTTGCAATTCAGATTTAGTGACTCAACATCGAAGATTAAATAATAAAGTTGTAAATAAACCAATTTTATTATATCCATTTTCAAGTATAAAGAGTCATTTATCAAGAATGTTTAAGAGACCTGATACCATCCACTCATCAAATCTAAAGGTCTCTTTCGATAGGCTGTCTTGGTTGGATTTGTGTATTTTCGGCAATCCATTTTTTCCTGCATAACACTGCAGAACAGTTCCAGTTAATCCCATTAGACATAATCCTTCTGAATTATAAAAGCATTTTGTTTGATTATTTTAGTTGATCAATATATCTTGGTTGATCTCTGGGATTATAAGGTGGATAATAAATGAAGAAAATGGTCTCTGAGATTCGTTACTCCATTATCAACAGGCTTCTTCTTCTTCAATCTTCAAGAAGTAGTGTTCTACTATTAACAAGATATCTTGCGTGAAGTTTTCAAGCTAAAGTATACATCAACAATCCCAGTTATTGCAACGAAGAGATATCAGAAGCGCTTAAATGAGAACTGGCACTAAAAGTCAATGATGTCAACTTATTTAAAAAAGCAAGAGCAAAGGCATCATGACCAAGATGAACAACATTCAATTAGTAAGAATACACACTGATTGAATTATTTCTTAGAAAGGACATAAACTAAAAAATTTAGAAATCAATGGATATTAGTATTCAAATTTTAAAGAAAATTCTTGAAAATTCCTTGATTTCTAAATTACACATATCTTATTATCTTGAGGCAAATGAAATTACCCTCATTTTTAATAATCTCGCCGTATCCTACCTATTAGTGATACGGTAGAATCGTTCCAATGAATTTTACGGCATATGGCTAGTTACGGTTGCTGTTACAACAATTAATTTCGTAGCTATAGTTAGCGATAATATTTATTAATTAAAGTGTAATTTCAATTTAAGCTATAATTTATATGTAATAACTATGTCATAAAGTTAAATTTCGTAGCTATAGTTAGTTAGCGATAATATTTATTAATTAAGTGTAATTTCAATTTAAGCTATAATTTATATGTAATAACTATGTCATAAAGATAATAAAATAATTATAAAATAAATTTGCCTCCATTTTATTAAAATTTTTTGTTAACGAAACCCTTTTTATAATGGATACGCTTAAAAATATCACAATCGAAATATATAAATTAATTCATACTAATAGTATTAGTAATATTTCTCAATAACCATCAAATGATACATCAATTCAAAGCAGCAATAGTATTTATAATCATCGGAGGTTTTTGCTTCAATTTTACCTAAAAAAGCATCGTGGTGGATCTAATTTGGGAATATGTTGACATTGAGATATTTATGGAGACAATCAAAATAAAAAAACTTCTTGCAAATAATGTTTATGTGTGATCAAGATAAGTTCTTCATGTAAGACAAAAAATCCTATTGTAAAAGTCTTCACGCTACCAAGTCAATTTAAAAATATTCTTCGCTAAATAATAAATGTCCCTTTTATAAAGTTACAGCATATAAAAATTTGAGTTACGATACATAATAAAGTTTCGACTTGTATATCTATATTGACATGTTGCAACAATACAGTATACTGTATTTATATTTTACATGTCATAATTTAAAATCGAAACGTTATGATGAGTTATAACTTAGCTACGTTCAGCTTGTTTCGATGCTTAAAGTTTCTACCGCATCACTACTACCTATCCATCAAACAAAACAATCTTAATTCAGAAAGACAAAGAGCATTAACAATATCCCTTTCCAAAAATACTATTTTAACTTTTTTACGTCTTGCATATAATAATCTTGGACCAAAAGGTGAGATGTACTTGTAGAGGCTCTTCGTAAAAATGAGTCACTAAATTCGTTGAAAATAATATTCATTGAATATAATGCACAATCTACTTGAATTCAATAGCAAAAAAGTGCTAGCAGAAGTGATATTTAATAGAGAATTATATTGATAACAAAATATTTACATTATTTTATAAATAAGGCCGTTTGCAGTTAAAGTTTCGTTTAACGTTATTTTTTTCGTATTCGCGGGGGAGGGGGGAAAATTAAACAAACA